TATAAATTACATTCATACCTCCTTTTTTCGGGACCACCTGAATTGGGCTAACCCAAGCACTATCAGAGATAAGATAGATCATACCTGCATCAAGTAATTTCAATACTTCTTTCTTTACTACCTCTTTCATAGTTGGATTAAGATGTCTTTGAGGTTGTGCAACAGGCTTGAAATCATTCTCCATGTGAATCTTATGCATGCAATAAGAAGGAATGATTCCTTTGAGATCAGATAACATCCTCCCTATGACCTTCTCATTCTCTTTCAAAACTGAGATCAATTTTTCTTCTTCAGAATTTGTTAAGGCATTGCTAGTCACCACTGGTTTGTTGCCTCCATCTGCAAGAAAAATATATTTTAAGTGAGGAGGTAATATCTTTAATTCCAGCTTCTGACTCTTAGTTTCAGGAACAAAACATATAAAAATTGCCTCAAATCCAGTGTTCCAGGAGAGAACAAAACATATAAAAATTGATTGTCATTTCATTCGGGAAAATTTATTTCTACAACCTTCTATTATAAATATAAGGTGATTTGGATTATGAAGACACACCCAACTATTATAAATTTTACTTTTCAAGTTATACATACACACACACACACACATATATATATATATATATATATATATATATATATATATATATATATATATATAATCACATTTGTCGGGTTCAAATCCCGATAATTTAGTGTGAACTAACAAAGCAACGTACTTTGTTTGAATACCTATTTATTCTTTCTGAATTCTTATTTTCTGAAAACTTAACTTTTCTAATAGAAATTTTTTTTATTAATCGAACCTTGCCTAAGAGTCTTTGAGGGTAGATGAGCGTTGGTAAGCCGGTTTAGGTAGTAAGTCCAGCAAGTGGCAATAAACCCTGTGGTGTTCCCGAGCATCTTAGACCTTGGCCTTAGGATGACAAAGTTAATAAAACTTTTATCTAAAGGAAAAGAAAAGTTTGAAGAAAATAAAAATATAGAAGAAGAAACAAGTAATATAAACATAGTACACCATGAACATGTCATTTTTGTTGTAAAATCTTTAGTTGATTAACCTTCTCAGAAGTTGATTCATCATTTAAGATAGTTTTATTATTTATAATATTCATTTTTTCTTCTTGTATTTCATTTTTTCTTTTTAATTCTACTAACTGAATTTTAATTTCTTTAATTTCTTCCTTTAGAATTATAATCTATCAAAGAGGGGTTTACATAATATTCGAATATTAGGTATAAATTCTGATACATAGTTTAAACATCCTAAAAATCTTTGTAATTGCAGTTTATCTTTTATTTCATCAGGAAATTTTTCTGAAAATTCAATACTTCTTTTAATGGGGGTTATAGTTCCTTGATTTATTTCATGACCTAAAAATCTAATCTGGGTTTGTGCTAGTTTTATTTTCTTTTGTGATATTACCATTCCATTTGTTTTTATGATATTTTTAAATATTCGTAGATGTTTTTTATGTTGTTCTATTGATTCAGAAAATATTAATACATACTGTTTGTTTGAAATAAGTATGCACTGTGGTTACGGTTTAGGCCGATCCTCCACATCAGAAAATTGTTTAAAAGTATATCGGCTGGAAAACTGGACAGTTAAGTCTCCTCGATTGGGTTGCTTATAGCATAATAGGCTAGTCCAGATCACATTTGTCAAGTTCAAATCCTGATAATTTAGTGTGAACTAATAAAGCCACGTACTTTGTTTAAATACCTGTTTATTCTTTCTGAATTCTTATTTTCTGAAAACTTAACTTTTCTAATAGAATTTTTTTTTATTAATCGAACCTTGCCTAAGAGTCTTTGAGGGTAGATGAGCGTTGGTAAGCCGGATTAGGTAGTAAGTCCAACAAGTGGCAATAAACCCTGTGGTATTCCCGAGCATCTTAGACCTTGACCTTAGTATGGCAAAGTTAATAAAACTTTTATCTAAAGGAAAACAAAAGTTTGAAGAAAATAAAAATACAAAAGAAGAAACAAGTATTATGAACATAGTACACCATGAACTAATTATTCCGAAATAGAAAATCAACTTAATAAATGGACCCTTCCAAAACTAGAAATATCAACTATCTATAAAACAAATTGGAAAGATATGTTTAAATAAACAGTAGACAAAGAAATAGAACTCTTATCGAGTCATGAAAAAATACCATTAATAACTAAAACTTTAATTGCCGAACATATAAAAGAATATAGATATCTTCATATAGGATCTATACAAATAGCGATAAAACCTCTCTTCAGAAAAGGAATAGATACCCCCATGTTCGTTGCTTTAAGAGATAATAGATTAGTAAAAATTGAAAATCAAATATTAGCAACGTTTGAAAAAAATCTTCATAATGGACCAGTATACATAAATAATTATCCAAATTATTCAATATCCCTTAAAAGTCTTCATAATACGGAAAATAATATACTACTAGATATAAAAATCCCCAAAAACGTATGGAATCCAAAATCAATACCTATAACAATAATATATAGAATTTATTATAAGATAATGAGAACTCAATTAGCACCAAGAGCCTTATTAATGTCTCCAAAAGATGAAACAACTATGTTATTAGTAAATCCAAAAAAGGTTAACGCGGTGATACCAAAAACTTTAAAACATAATGAAATGTCTAGTGGTCTTAGTTGGAGACTAGAAGATTTACTAGAACCGGAACCACCGGAACCAGTAGAAGTTGAAAATATAACTGAATACAAATCGGGGATAGTAGAAGTATCCTTTGTCCCAATCGGAAGAATAAATTCAGCAAGAGGAACATCTAGTAGAAATACTTTTGTAACAGCCAGAAGATCAATAGACCAATCTAGTCTAATACATCATAGAAGTTTAAAATTAAAAGGAATAAAACAAGACCCTACGATCCCAATGCCAGAATACGAATATGAAAATATAGAAACACATAATTCTCCATCTGCTTCCGAAATACAACAAGATGATAGTATAATAAACGTAATAACCAAATTTGAAATAAATAAAGACCTATTGGGACAAGAATTTTTAGATGAAAATAATAAGGAAAAAAGAGAATGGTTCTTTAAAACTTTTACTCAAAATGAATTAAAAGAATACCGTGAAAAATATTATGAGCATTTAAACTTAATTCAAGAAAATATACCATATTTTAGATGGTTTGAAGAAAACTGTTTAGAAAATCTACAAATTAATGTACTACAAAAAGCTGAAAAAATATGGAAAACAAAAAATAAAGAAGTAATCAGTAAAATCCCTCCTCTAGAAGAAGTAAGATTTCCTAATATTGAAAATAAAGAAGTAATTGCATCACCCTTTAAAATGATAGGAGAAAAAAAAAATAGTAGTGATACTCCTAACATAAATGATATTCAAAATTTACATAGTCAGCTAAACTTTACAAATCAAATATTACCTCAAATAGCTCAAAAAACTATTGAGGAAGAAAGTTTAAAAAATAGTAAAAATTCCCTAGGAATAACTGACCTACAAAAATCTTTAATAAACCCTATAAGATTATCCGACAAAGAATATAAAGAATTCAAAATAGGAAATCAATCGAGATAGAATATTAGAGGAAATAAATATAAAATTAGAACAATTAAATGTAAGAAAATTAAATGTAATAGACATTCCCGAGGAAGAACTAGGCGACCTAGAAAATATAGATTATGAAGAAAAAATAAATAGAATAGGAAGTAAATTTAATGCAAATCCAACTACCCATAATATGCCAACTACTAGAAATTATTATAGAAGGCCAACATTACTAGATATACAATTCGAAGAATGGAATTTAGAAAGTCCATCCGCCTTTAATGGAACAGGGATAACAGAATGGAACATAGATGGATTAACTAATTATCAATTATTAAGAAAAACTAATGAAATAGCCATGGCCGCCTCAGCATATAGGGCAAAAAACTCAGAAGAACAAACAATACAATTACTAATCCTAGGATTTACCGGATCCTTGAAAGGATGGTGGGAAAATTATTTATCTTCCACTACAAGAAAATCGCGTATTACCGACGGATTTTTACCGACAGATTTGTAGCCGTCGGAAAATAATTATTACCGACAGAAATTATCGACGGATATAAAATGTTTGTAGAATTTGATCTTACTGACGGATATATCCGGTAAAATAATAATTAGTTACCGACGGATATATCCGTCGATAAATCTGTCGATAATTTACAGATGAATTTACCGACGGATATTCATCTGCAGAATTAACAATTATTTACCGATCGGATATTTTCGTCGGTAAACTAACAATTAGTTATCGACGGATATATCCGTCGGTAAAATTATATAATAATTACTTAGTATATTTCAATAATTTAATTATTCACTTAATTAAAAAATAAAATATTTTTTATTTAATAATTTAATTTAATCATAATTAGATTAATTTATAATAATTTATTAAATTAAATAATTTTAAAAAATAAATATTTAATTATATATAAATATATAAATATATATAAATATTTAATTATGTATATAAATATATAAAAATATATAAATATATAAATGTATAAATATATAAATGTATAAATATATAAATGTATAAATATATTTGTATATAAATATATTTGTATATAAATATAATTTATTTGTAAATTATCATCAAAAAATTCTAGTAGCTTAGTAGTTGGAGTATCGACCTCCAACTCTAAGGTACTTGGGTTCAATCCCGCTAATGACAATTCTCTTAAAGTTATAAATAAGTAAAATGTTTAATAAATAATAAAAATATTACCGACGGACAAAGCTATAAAAATATAATAGGGGTATAAAATTAATAATAAATACTAAAAATAAAATAAGTTATAAATAAGTAAAATGTTTAATAAATAATAAAAATATTACCGACGTGACTATTAAATCCGTCGGTAATATTTACCGACAATCAAATTTTTGACATATTTTTGGCCATCGAAAATCCGTCGGTAATATCCATTTACCGACGAATTTGCTTTGGGTGTTCTATGGAATGCCATTTGTCCACCCAAACAGTCTTTTAGTGGTGACCATCAATGGCGTTGGGCTTGTGTTCGAGTTCGTTTATCTAGCCATATTTTTCACCTATGCAACCAACAAAGGACGGAAAAAGTTGTCGATTTTACTTCTCATAGAGACTATTTTCTTTGCTGCCATTATGCTGATAACAACGCTGGTACTGCATGGCACTACTCGGTGGTTGGTATCATCTGTGATATCTTCAATGTCATGATGTATGTCTCTCCTCTTACAATCATGGCTAAGGTTATCAAAACCAAGAGCGTGAAATACATGCCATTTTGGCTCTCTCTGACCAACTTCCTTAATGGTGTGTGCTGGACCACATATGCTCTTATCCACCCCTTAGACCTCTATGTTCTTATCAGTAACAATATTGGAGTCATCTCTGGACTGGTTTAGCTCATCCTGTATGCTTGCTACTATTGGGGAGGAGAAAACAATGATGATGATGATGAGGTCCCTAAGACAACTGGGGTTCCAGTCTCTGAATGCTGAATGCCCGTCTGGTCTTGAATTCATTTTGATTCATACATTTTTATGTTCTTGTAAAGTTATGCTTTTACAATATGCATCTCATGCTTACATAGATAGTTCTAGTTGAGAAACTCACAACATCTAATGGTATTTTGGTATCAGAGCCAAAGCCTAACATCTTTCTGGTTATTGTCATGGGCCAAAAAGTTGCCCTTTAGTTGGGTCAAAAGTACCATTTGCCTGGTCCGGCAGGCTTCGTTGGAGGGGGTGTGTTGAAAGTCCCACATTGCCTACCTCATATCATTTGGTATGGTTTAAATACATGTTAGGCTACTCTACATATTGCCAATTGGTTTTATGTTGGTAACGTTTCACACTCACACACAAAGCGCATTGTGTTCTTCTGTTCTGTCGTTCGCTTCAATTAATATTAAAATTTCTTGTAGTGTTCAGATCAAAGACGATTTATTTTAACAGTAGTAAAACAAGACGAAAATAATCAAATACCCCTGATGGTAGAAACATTAATAATACCAATAATCCATAATTTTATGGGCAACTCTAACACCTTTGAAGAAAAAACTAGTACCCTGCTACATAATCTAAGATGTCCCACTCTAGGAGATTTTAGATGGTATGTAGACAATTTCATAATCATGGTAATGACTAGAACAGACTGCAAAGAAACTTTTTGGAAAGAAAGGTTTATTGTTGGACTACCCCCAGTATTTGCAACAAAAGTACGAGAAAAATTAACCCAAAAATATCTAGAACCTTTGCAAGATATAACATATGAAAAAATAATTTCAACTATTAAAAACATTGCCTTAGAAATATGTAATAATCTAAAATTAGAAAAACAGATTAAAAGACAACAAGAAAATGGTACAAAAGAATTAGGAGACTTCTGCGTACAATATGGGTATGAAAGATTAGATCCCCCTTCTAGAAAAAATAAGAAAAAACAAATAATTAAAAGAAAATTCTCTCATAATAATAATAAAAATATTCCTAGAAATTTTAGAAGAAAAATAAGAACAAACCCCTCTATAAGTAATAATCAACCTAATACAAAGAAAGGAATAGTTTGTTATAAATGTGGAAGATATGAACACATGAAAAAAGATTGTAGAGTACGAGAAAGAATACAAAATCTAGATATGAGTGAAGAAACAAAAAACCAAATAGCAAAAATATTATTATATGAATCAAAAGAAGACATTAATAATTTAATAGAAACTAGTAGCGAGTGAAGATGAACCTACTACTAATCTAAATGAAAATGAGAATGAAGAAAATTGTGATCTGTATATTTAATATTAATGTTTTAACTACAGAAAATAAAAATAGTTTTTGAAATGGTAGATAAACTTCCAAATGAAGAAGATAAGTTAGAATATTTAACTAAATTAAAAACATTGATATTAAGCGAAAAAGCAGAAACTGTATCAACGTAAGTAAGTGGTTATGATTTTTCAAAAATATTAAGAAAGACAATAAATAAAGAAAAACCTGTAAATTTACAAGACTTACAAAAAGAAATAAGTCTTCTAAAAGAAGAAATAAAAGAAATTAAAATTCAATTAGTAGAATTAAAAATAAAAAATTGAAATAAAAGAAGAAAAAATGAATATCATAAATAAACAAACTATCTTACATAATGAATCAATGTCTCGAAAAGGTTAATCAACTAAAAATTTTACAACAAAAATGGCATATAAAAGCTACATTAAAAATTGGAAATAATTTTCATAAACAATTCACAGCTTTAGTAGACTCTGGAGTCGACATAAATTGTATAAGAGAAGGATTAATAACTACTAAAATTTATGAAAAAACATTACAAACCCTAAGAACCGCGAATTCCGAAAAACTAAAAGTAAAATATAAATTGTCAAACGCCAACATATGTAATAAAGGAACTTGTTTTAAAAACACTTTTATATTAACCCCCGATATTAGTGAAGAAATGATATTAGGAACCCCATTTATAACATTAATATACCCTTTTGAAGTATCCGAAAATGGAATAAAATATAAAAACATTTTATTCAAATTTATTAAACCAATAAAAAATAAAGAGATACAACTAGTTACTAAAGTAAATGAGAAAAATTTTCTATTAAAATTAGAAGCCAAAAATAACCACATAAAATACTTAAAACAAGAAATAATATACAAAATAATCGAAGAACAATTAAAAAATCTTGAAATAATAACAACCTTTAAAAAAATAGAACAAAAAAATTATAAAAGAAGTATGTGCAGAAGTACCTACAACGTTTTGGAATAAAAACATTTTTGAAATAGAATTACCCTATGAAGAAGGATTTTTAGAAAAGAGTATTCCTACAAAAGCTAAGCCAGTACAATTAAATAAAGAAACATTAGAATATTGTAGAAAAGAAATAAAATCTTTTTTAGATAAAAAACTTATTAGACCTAGCAAATCTCCTTGGAGTTGCGCAGCTTTTTACGTCCAGAATGCATCTGAAATAGAAAGGGGAGAACCAAGAATGATAATAAATTATAAACTTTTAAATAAGGTCTTAAAATGGATTAGGTATCCCCTGCCTAATAAAACTGAATTAATAAGTAGAATTTATAATGCCAATATATTTTCTAAGTTTGATATGAAAAGTGGATACTATCAAATTAAACTAAAAGAACAAGATAAATATAAAACTGGTTTTATAGTACCATTTGGGCAATATGAATGGAATGTAATGCCTATGGGTCTAAAAAACGCTCCTTCTGAATTTCAAAAAATAATGAACGATATATTAAACCCTTATTCAAAATTTGTTATCGTATATATTGATGATGTATTAATATTTTCTGAATCAATAGAACAACATAAAAAACATCTACGAATATTTAAAAATATCATAAAAACAAATGGAATGGTAATATCACAAAAGAAAATAAAACTAGCACAAACTCAGATTAGATTTTTAAGTCATGAAATAAATCAAGGAACTATAACCCCCATTAAAAGAAGTATTGAATTTTCAGAAAAATTTCCTGATGAAATAAAAGATAAACTACAATTACAAAGATTCTTAGGATGTTTAAATTATGTATCAGAATTTATACCTAATATTCGAATATTATGTAAACCTCTCTTCAATAGATTAAGAAAAAATCCCCAACCATGGACTCCAGAAATGACTAAAATAATAATAGAGGTTAAAAAATTAGTTAAGACCTTACCTTGTCTAGGAATACCAAATCCCGAAGCAAAAATAATTATAAAGGCTAACGCTTCTGATATAGGATATGGAGGCATTCTGAAACAAAAACTAAAAGAAAACCCTGAACAAATAGTAAGATATCACTCGGGAATATGGAATGATGCTCACAGAAATTATAGTACTATTAAGAAAGAAGTTTTAAGCATAGTCTTAAATATCCAAAAATTCCAACATGATTTAATAAATAAAATTTTTTTATTGAGAGTTGATTGTAAATCGGCAAAAGAAATTTTGGAAAAAGATGTAAAAAAGATAGTTTCAAAACAAATATTTGCCAAATGGCAAAGTTTATTATCCTGTTTTGAATTTGAAATAGAATTTATTAAAGGAAAAGAAAATTCGTTACTTGATTTTCTAACAAGGGAATTTTTGCAGGGCCATAATCATGGCAACCTCCTCAAAAACCCCAACTTCAACTGAAAAAGGAAAAACCGAAAAAGGACAAAAGTCATCTACGTTGTCCTTAGATGACTTTGCCCCGTCATATTCAAAAGCTATGACTACTAGAAGACTTCCTACCTCCCTAACCACTCAATCGAATAGATTTATCCTTTTGACCCCCCAAAATCCTCAACATCCTCCCCCTAAAAAACTCCTAAGAAAGAATTTCATATAAAAGAGGGATGTCAGAAAATTATCATTTTAGAAGAAGAGTGGAATCCAGAGGACATTTACGGAATACTTAAGAAGCTAGCTCCTCCAAGATGGAGTTGGATTCCTAAATCTGAAAATTTGAAAAAGACCAAAAATTTTTACCAATTTATTTTAATAGATACAGGATCTGCAGAAATAACCCCCATTCCTAATGAAAAAGATCCTTCTATTATAAGTTATTCAAAATTACGCATCATTAAGATCATTTCATATCAAGAGTGGAACCAACACCCGTTTACAGATAAGAGCTTTTCGAGGCCCTTTGACCCTCCTTCTTATAACTATTTCGATTACCAAGAACCATGGACCAAGATATTACTTGATACCAACCCTAGGCATTCATGGTACATATGTTTTAAAAAGGAAATACCTACTATTTTACCAAACTGATTCATTGACTGGTTTCATCAAATAGACCCTGTCCAATCTATAATCCTAGAAAAAAATCATGAAAATATATCGAAAATATAAAAGCCTTACTCCCCAATACTCTCCTCACCTTTGAATAATAAAATTCTGCTCAACCATGGGAATAAGTTGGCTTTTGGCCCACATTCCCGAAATCCATCAACATCGAGAAGAAACCTACCCAAAAACTCTTTGTTTAAAAACCAAAGTTTTTTGGTGGAAAAAATTCGAAGCCCAATATGTCGAAGAAAAATTCGAAAACTGGAAGAAATTGGGCCTTACCTCACAGAAAAGCCCAATCCAAAGAGAAACACTATCCATAAAAGAAAAAGGAAAAGCTGTTATCGACTTATCAAACCTCCCTTCCTCAAAAACCGAAAAAGCCCAATTAAGACAAAAAATGATTGAAGCATTATCCTCCTTAGGCTCTGATGAAGAAGAAGAAGAAGAAGAAGAAGAAGAAACAAAAACCATTATTAATTTACAAGATGTTCAGGATCCATATGAAGATGAAGAAAACCTTGATTTTGACCAATTATAGTAATCAATTCCATCAGAATTAGTCAAGACGATTAATAACATTATGAAAAGAAGATCAACCAAAAAAGAGTTACAAAGCAGAATTCATCACATTGTGAGAAAATTGGAAGACGAAGACTCTCAAGAATTCTCCCTCTAAGAAAAAGCATCTTAGTAAGAAGCTGGGCTTAGTTGGCCCATCGCCCAACAGATACTATGGTCCCATCCCTTGGAATAGAATCAGCTGGTTCTTTACTCAAAGAAAATTGGAGCCCACAGAGTTGAAAACCAAGTCCTTGTAATTATGCTATTTTGTTTTTAGCGTCGGCCGCCGAAAGTAAAGGCGTGTCAATTGTAATTATATCTTTTGTTTTTAGCATATGTGTCAATTGTAATTATAGTCTTTGTCGGCCACTTGTATGTCAGTTGTATTATTGAATAGGAGATCCTTTAGGTTTATAAAAGAGTCAATTGTTGAGATAGCATTTACAGCTCTCTTTGAGCCTTAAACTCTATCTTCCTCAGTCAACTCCTTCATAGCCTAAGTCTTCCCTTCTCTCCTCGAATAATCTTGAATATTGTAAATTCTGTAATAATATCTCTTTGCTTTCTTTCTACCTTTTCTTCTCTTCCGCTTTTATATATGTGCTGGTATACCTAATAAATTTTATGAAAAAACTCTACAATCTCTAAGAACAACAAATTCTGAAAAACTAAAAGTAAAATATAAATTGTCAAACGTCATCATTTGTAATAAAGATACCTGTTTTAAAAACACGTTTATATTAACTCCTGATATTAGTGAAGAAATGATATTAGGAACCTCATTTCTAACATTAATATACCCTTTTGAAATATTCGAAAATGGAATAAAATATAAAAATATATATATATATATATATATATATATATATATATATATATATGCTCATGACATAAAAAAAAAAATCAAAACGAGTGTTATTGCTGCGAATTGCCATTCAGAATTTAGTTTCACGGGAACTAAATACTAATCTTACATTGTAAACCTTGGATCAATACGTGAGTTAACAATTAAATATTTTTTTATATTATTTGAGAAAAAAAATCCCCACTTCATTATAAATTTACTATTCCACATTTTAATTGGGCAAATAATACGAATGCGTCATTCACAATGACCTCTTAGCTTCCGACTTTTTTATTAGATAATGATTAGCTAGATAAAGGTTTCTATTGCTTTTCTAATTTGTCCTTGTCCTTATAATTTTAGCTGGATTCACCTTCTGTTGTGATTTTGTTACCTAGCAATCCACCGTGTGGTAAATCAGAATATAAAAGTTAACTATTTGTCAGTCTTGAAAACATTAATGCCACAGGATTGACCTAAATATATTTATCTGCCTCTGTTTTCTACCTCTGTCTCTTCGCTCACAAACTTTCCTTTACCTTCCACAGAACAGAGTGGAAGGAAGTTCCCCTTAGTTTCTTTGTCCTCATCAATGAAGAGACTCAATAACTCAGACTCTACGGCTACTTCACTTGCCATGTGCCCATCAAAAGGTATAGAAATAATTAAAATAATCCCGGAACATTTCTTTCTAAATGGTTCCTTCTTCTGCACCACTCATCCTTTTGATACCCTTTCTCACAACACGTCTCTCATTCAACCTCTTTTGTGAAGCCTAGTGGACCAATATAAAAAAAGAACTTATCTTTCTATGGTGTGACAAGTTTTCCCTTTCAACAATTGTGCATGCAGGTTTGAATGGGAGGAAGGAAACTCAGGGTTACGGTGAAGAGTTTCAGGCAATGTTAGATAGACTAGAACAAGAAGACAGTAACGAAGATTCTAGCTTAGTGTTGGAGAAGAAAAGGAGGCTGAGTTTTGACCAGGTTAAAGCCTTAGAGAGAAGCTTTGAGTTAGACAACAAGCTAGAGCCAGAGCGCAAGTCAAAGTTAGCTGAGGAACTAGGTCTTCAACAAAGACAGGTTGCTATTTGGTTCCAAAATCGTCGAGCTCGTTGGAAAACTAAGCAATTGGAGAGAGACTATGGCATTCTCAAGTCCAATTATGACGTTCTAAAGGTTGAGTACAATAATCTTGAGCAAGATAATGAGGCTCTAACTCTTCAGGTATAACAAATAACTTTGATTGCATACAATAACAAAAATTACGCTTTGGTTACCTGATCAAATGACTCTAGATCTATTTGTATCTTTAATTGCAAACCCACTTGAATCTGACACCTTGTGACTTCTTGAAAATGATACTGTTTGTCAGCGCAGAAAAAGAGAAATATAGTAATCGTTTTCAACTGTCTCAGTATTTTTGTTTCTAAAATATTTGTTTTGGAATCAATTTTAAAATTTTCATAGATTTTTAAATGGGATATTTTGGTTGTTATTTAAAATGGATTTCTCTTGGAAAACAACTTTGAAACAAAAATTGTGAAAGAATCCAAACATGTCCGTAATTTGCAGATTTTGAGGTCTTTCATGTAGTCTTTGGTGTATGAACTGCAGGTTAGAGAATTGAAAGGAAAGTTGTTAAGAGGTAAAGCTGAAAGCAATGCGTCAACGAAAGAAGAATCTCCCATTTCAGAGGTTAGAGATAGAGGAGCATCAGAAAGCAATTCAAATAGTGTGGTTAAGGAAGAAAGCAACGTTGATTCTCCTTTTTGTGTGAATGGATATTTGCCCAGTTCAAGCTCAGTGATAAACTGGCTTCAAGATTCTGATTCAAGAGGGGCTCCTGAGAAAATGTTTCAGACTCAGTTTATGAGAATGGAGGAACAGAATTTCTTTGGCATCAATGACTTCTGTTTCTTTTCAGTTGATCAATCCCCTACCCTGTAATACATCAGATGGACAATTTATCCAATAGCATTGCCAATGCCTAGAGTTCATAATTGACTCTAATTTCAAATTGGTTGGCTTCTAATCATTCCTAAATAAGCCGAGATTTGTCATTTATGGTCCTCAAAAAATTTGGTGCTTTTGTAAGAGAATAGACTTCAATCATAGAAGAGTCATTCGAGTTTAGTATATGATGTATTAGTATTATGTCTCCCAAAGAGGTGAAACAAATGAATTGAAAGAGTTTATGCAAAAAAAATTGACCAATAGTTATGGAACAAGAATGTGGAAAGATTTGAATTGATTTACCTCTCAAAAGTTCAATTTTAATTGTAATGTCATTCACTTTGGTTATAATATGTCTACCAAAGAATTGGAAGAAAAGAATGGAAAGTGTTGATTTAAAAAAAACAATAATTATGGAAAAAAAGTGAAAATATTTAAATTGATCTATCTAAGCTTCTAAAAAGCTCAATTATATTTGTAAATTCTATCTTTGGGTTTGTAAAAAGAACATGTCATTGCTTTTTGTCTTAGGGGATTTCTACACATGGGATGAGAGTATTTTTTTCTTCACATATCGTTTCCTTTCCTTTTCCTTTACATAAAAATATGAAACAATATCTGCAGAGAAATTACAGACTGAATTACATTTCCATTCAGGGAGGTCCCATTAATTAATTTGTTATGGGCAAAGTTCAGCTTTAGTATGCAACAAGGAGACATTTTGGACGAAGAAAAGTGGTTCACAGTCATGAATGGTTGGCTATCTCCTACTAACTTACGTGCTTTCACATTCTTTTTCTCACTGTCAGATCTCATATCGCTGATCAAAGCATGTGGTAGGTGAATCTTGTGAAATCACCCGCAGCTTTTGCAAAATGATCTCTTCCACTGGCACAACACAATCCCACTGCTTCATATATTTAAAATGGTACATTATTTTAGTTAATGTAAACTTTTATCATATTATTATCTTAATTAAAAGAAAATTTTGTTATCACACTCTTTTATTTTAATAGAGATATTTTAATTATAATTTTTTATCTTAAGGAGAATTCTTTATGTCTCATTTTATAAATAAAAAATCATCACACTCTTTATTTTTAAGAAGATTTATTTTATTATAATATAATTAACATTACTTTTAATAATATAATTATCTTATAAAAATTAAAAATTATACTTATATAATATATAATATTATCGTATCTAATTTCTTCTAATTAACTCGAGAGATTATTTAATCGCATATCTTTTTTGGCAGGACTCTTTTTTTTTTTTTTTTTTCATTATCATAGTTTCTGCTTGTTGTATCACAATCAACCTTAATAAGAAACATTCGGATATATTAGTATAAAAAAATTAATACATTTGACATTCATAGTTTCTAAAAATTAGAATATAGTTTTTCTTTTCAATTACGAAGACTAAAATTTTGATCCTCATTTTTATAGAAGAATAATTATATTTTTTAAATAATTATCATGATTTATAAACAACCAAAAAGTCATCAAAATGTGAGAGGAGGGTGGGCGAAACTATGGAGAAAGAAGCACCTGCCATTTGTTTGTTTCAATAGATTCAGAAAAGCAGAGATATGCGTACCCCAAAATCAAATCAAATAAAAGACAGCCGACACCAACAATTAAATAAATAAATATTTTAAAAAATAATAAATATTTAATTTTTGAAAAAGTTATATTTATATATATTTATTATATTTTTACTTAAAAATTTTGTAAAATTCCTTAAATTATCTAATTATTATATTTTTTTATACTCTCAAATCAATTATAACTTTCCATTCAATTTTTATTTTATTTTATTTCTATTAATCCAATCAATCTTTTTTTTTCCATCCCCACAAATCTATTTTTTGAGTCAATTTTTTTTAAATGATAAAGATTATATTTATGTGTATTTCATATCAATAACATTATAATAATAATAATTATTATTAAAATATTCTCAAAAAAATTAATATTTATTTAGTTTAATATTGAAAAAAAAGTAAATTAGTTTATATATATATATATATATATATATATATATATATATAATTTCACGAGCAAAATATGATTATAGACATAGACTTGTTAATTAAATTGATATTTCACAATTCATCAACCATCTACAAAATATATAAAAATGTCAAATAATATATTCTAAAACAATTCATAAAACACAAGTAAAAATTACATAAAAAAATACATGAAAACATTTGCTTTTATTAAGAAATATAAAAAAAAATATTCAAGATAAATAAACTAGACCATAATATTCATTTAATTTATGTAAAGATAATTGCCACACTGTCTAAAGTAAAAGCACATGTTTCAAAAGGCGTTTTCTTAAGTCAAAAAGTCTTGTTTCTAACTGAATTTTTGTTTTGATGCCACTCAGAAGGTATTTAAACTTCCCATAAATCTTAAGAAAGAAAAGAAAGAATTTAATGAAAAATTCCCTGTGAGAAAATGTGAACGAATTTTCTTTTTTATGAAAATCTTATTATACAAATAAATGTTATAAAATTGAATTAAATATTTTATTATTTTTAATAAAAATTTATTATTTTATATTAACAATCTCTAATTATTTATTTTTTTAATTTATAATAATATATGTATATTATTAAATTTATAATATTTATTAAATACAAATATTTTTATATTAATAATAATAATAATAATAATATACAATCTATTATAATTAATGTTAAATATATATAATTTATTATTTAAAATATCATAATATAAAATTATTTATTTTCTATAAATTGTCCCATTCTTGTTAAACGATATTATTATTATTATTATTATTATTATTATTATTATTATTATTATTATTTAACTACAGAATCTTTATTTTTGTTTTTTCTTTTCAATATTCAACCGAACTCGACCTTCAAAATCATAATCATCTTATTTATTATTATCATTTTAAAAAACAACCGATATTAAATAAAAAAAATCTTTCATATATATATATATATATATATATATATATATATATATAAATACAGTTAATAGTCAATAAGTGCTTAGGGTTAGAGTTAATAAGGCGTACCAGTATGATACAACTGGCCTACCTAGAAAAGGAAAATGTGTGGGAGGGAAAGGAAGGGAATAGTAATTAAATTAGAAAGGACAGGAAACAATGAAGAAATAAATATTAGGAGGCAGGAAAAGATGAGATAGTTTGATGATTTTGTACAGCAGGAGCAGGTGTTGAAGTCCAAGTGATGGACATGATTTGTGAAGAGGTCATTGTCCTACTTTTGTGAATGTTAGTGGGAAAGAGTCACTCTATAAAGTTGGCTACCACACCATAACTATTCCTTAACGTCTAGCTTTTGTCAGAAGTAGGACCCTTGTTTTCTGCCATGTTTGACTCTTCCCACCCTACCCACAAATTAACCGATATAAATAGATGCGTTCTAGTTCTTCTTTCTCACCGGAAATAAATGTATTTTTAAACTTTAATTTTACTATTTAGTTATTATTTTATGAATTTTATTACTCGATTATTTCATATATATTTTTACTAAAAAAAACTATGCCACACTTTTTTTTTAATTTGGTTAAATTATAACACAGTAAAAACGCATCACAAAAAAGTTATATAAAAATAAATTACAAACTGCATATTTTAAAAAAATACCAAAATAAAGTCATTGTTCTTTTTTTATACTTTTTCTTACATTCTAATACTCAAATAAATAAATTAATAATAAAATAAGAATATAATATAAATCATTCCATAAAATAATAAATGAAATCGAACTCTTTGCTGTTCATCCGTCTTCCAAAAGTACTTCATTATAAGATAACTTCTTTATAAGATAAATAAATAAATAACCTTCCTTAAAAGACTTATTAGTAATAATATTATATTAAATATATAAAATATCTAAATTATTAAGTTTTATTTTTAATATATTCATAATTAAATAATTAATTTATAAGATATTTGAATATATAATTCAAAGTATGTAAGATATACGTAAGTACATAAACTTCTATGCTAGAAATTTAAATATTTGTTAAGATGTAGGTGAATGATTTAGTTAAATTGAATTTTTTTCTCTATTAAGGATTAACATGTTTTAATAAATTTAACAAATAGATATAATTTAGTAAAACATCAATATAACATATGCATACATCATAATCCAACTTAAATACTCACCATTTTTATGAAACTCAATTATTTAATTGAAATATTTAATAAATTATAAGTTTTTAAAATATTAATATTATTATCAAAATTCAAAATAATGAGTTATAACATATTCTTGCTCATAAGTAAATATATATAGAGAGTTGTATCTAAGTTTAGTTCTATACTATTTCTACACTTAGATTTTGTCACTATATTTTTTTTTTAAATTAAATTGTCACCAATACTTTCATAAATAATATCATTTTAAAAAATATTTTCCAAAATAACATCTCTACAACATTATTTACCCATCTAGCACAATTTACTGTTCACATTTTAAAATAATCAATTATTTTAGATTATGATCGATTATTTTGCACAAGATCAACTCTCGCTCAAGCGAGAACTTCATTGCTTGAGCGAGGAGACCTGCAACTAATAGGTATTGTCAAGTTCTATTTCGCTCAAGCGACAGAATTCTCACTCGAGCGAGAAGAGATTGAAATATGTGGTGACCCAAGTTACATTATGTGACTAACTGTGTGGACCTTTAGTCTGTGGTCAACTCTTACTCAAGCGAGAAATCCATCGCATGAGCAAGAAGACCTGCAACTAATGGGTATTGTCGAGTTCTATTTCGCTCAAACGATGGAATTCTCGCTCGAGCGAGAAGTTATTGAAATATGTGGTGACCCAAGTTACATTATGCGGCTAACTGTGTTGGATCTTTAGTCTATGGTCAACTCTCGCTCAAGCGAGAAATCCATCGCTTAAGCGAGGAGACCTGCAACTATTTATAATCGATTATAAGCTAAACTAATTGATTATAATTTTAA